TGTCCTTGAAAATACCCGGGCTGCGCTGAGGGATGCCACTCCCCATCTCCGCTGGTGCTCCCCCCACCCCCCTTTTGTTTAGAGCAGCAGAGCATGTGTAGGGTGTTTTTCGGTGTCGTGTCCCCCCTCCCCCTCCCAGTCGTCTTTTGGGAGTGTTGGATTCCTGCATGATAAATGTGCTCATTTGTCTATTTCATTTTAATGCTGTTGTTAACAGAGGAGCCTGGGTATAGTAAGCTGCTACTTGCTTTGCTTCTGCACAGGGTCTTTTGTGATGGGCTCTCTGGAATTGAAAGCCAAAGTGGAAAAATGACCCTGAAACTGTCTGTGACCCGCTAATGTTAGGTATATTCCTCGGGAACTGGTGTAAAGTCAGTCCATGCATTCATTTCAGTCTTCAGCTTTTAATTCCACTGGGGAACAGCACCGATTAACTTTATTGTACTAGTTTTATCTGATCTCTAGGTTTCACTACATCTCAGTATGCAACACTGAGACCAAGGTTATAAATGCATTTGGCTGGCTGTCGCACCTGGCCAGGGAGCTTTCAGAGGCTTGACAGCAAGATGCATTTGTACACAAAGGCAGCAATGGTGTTTCAGGTCTTTGTTGGAACTTCAGCTGTAGTCTAGCACAGTGGAGGCAAACAGCTATCTGAATTGGGGTTGAAAGCTCAGATATTAAATCTGTGGGCTTCTTGAGCTAACTGTAGTACTCCTTGACTAATTTCATTTTTCCTGGCTGAGGAGTCCAGCTATCACTTAAGGTGTCCCCTCAACTACTCCCTTTTTGTTGAATTTTTCTCTTAGAGGCTCTTCTAAAATACTTTAAATGTTGAGTCATCACCTCTTCATTTGAATTAAGCTGTCTGTAGTAAACGGTCTGCTCTTCAAATCTCTGAAGGGTTCAATGACTTCATGCTTACTTTAAAGTTGGACAACGTAAGAAATGTCCTTGCTGTAGATGGAGACATAAGTATTGTATTTAATTACACGTTCTTCTGGGGACGGGTGTGTTGCAGAACTTCTTCCATCAGGGTGCATACCGTAGTATGAAAGATGACAAATCCAGTTTGCGAAACCTTCCTTGCTTTTGAAGCTAACCTTTAGGTTACCTGCTGGAAGAGGCTGCCATTAGCTAATGTAATATTCTTCAGCAGAATTGATCTAGTGTGTGAAAAAAAAAAAAGATATTTAATGACCTGAGTACTAGGTGTAAGGCTTGACCTTGTTGCTTCTTGGGCAGTTACAGAAGAAGCTTCTCGCTCCAGGAATCCTGGATGTGATAGTATTATTAACTAAAAATGTGGTGGCCTCTCTTAGATAGAGGCAAATAGGTAAAAGGAGTGTGCAGGACCTCTTGTCAGTAGTTTTTCTTTCCCTTTCAAATTACCTGTGAAGCTGTTGGAAAATCTAACATCAGTCCTTGCTGTGTGAGATAAACTTGAGATCTGGAGACTGGTGGTTTTTTTTTTTTTTTTTGAATATGGTAATGTCAGCACTCACAACTGAGAACAGAAGCAGGCTGTAGAAATGCACAGTCTTATGTTTTTCAGGAAGAATATGAGCAAGGTTTAGCTAGCTTAATGGCCTGCAGAATCCCCAAGTGTCTCAAGTTCTTGTCTGTTGTTGGAAATTCATATTTTAAAACATATTCTCACTGCTTTCTGTAATTAGCTATCCACTGAACATTTTTTGTATTTTTATTATCTATTTTTTTTTTTTTTACTCTTCAATTGAAGTTGAGTTTATTGGCAAGCTTTTGGTAAATTTGCTTTTCTTCCTTATTTAAGGACAGAAGACAGATGCATATTTTTCCTGCTTGTAGTTCTTGTGTTTGTTGCAATGTCTCTCCACAGGTGGTGCACAATTAGAACCAGTTTATACAGAGTTTCCTGCACAGGGTCTGGGATTATATTTGACAGGTCATTTTAACTTTTGTATGGCAGTTGGTTTATTCAGAGGGCCACTCTGTAAGTAGGGGCTCTTGGTTGTATAGCAACTTCTTTAGACTATGGAAGAAATTAACGATGCTTCTTCATCAAGAGAAGATACCGATATTAGTGATAGATCATTTAATTGATGTGCCATAGCTCCGTTCATTTAATCAATAAGAATATGGTATGTAACATACACTTTGCTTTTTTCTTCTCCAATTTACAGGGTAATTGATAGTGGACACCTTCACTTCCTACAATGGCACAGAGATCTGGACAGGAAGATCCAGAGAGATACCTCTTCGTGGATAGGGCTGTGATCTATAACCCTGCCACCCAGGCTGATTGGACTGCTAAAAAGTTGGTGTGGATTCCTTCAGAGCGCCATGGTTTTGAGGCAGCCAGCATCAAGGAGGAAAAAGGGGATGAAGTGTTGGTCGAACTGGCAGAGAATGGAAAGAAAGCACTAGTCAATAAAGATGATATTCAGAAGATGAATCCTCCCAAGTTCTCTAAAGTGGAAGACATGGCAGAATTAACCTGTTTAAATGAAGCCTCTGTATTGCATAATTTAAAGGATCGGTATTACTCTGGGCTCATCTATGTAAGTACTAATTATTAGATTCATTACGGCTGCTAATTCAGCTGAACTTATCTGATTCCCGTTCCTTTACTTATCAGAAATGTAGGAATCAGGTCTTGGCTCTGATTTAGATAGCCTAAATACTTTGTGTCCCTAGCATTAGTCCAGCGTCCTTTTCCATGCTGTGTAAGGGTCAAAACTCTGTTGTCATAAAACAAATAATAAAAAATTCTCCTATGGAAATAATTCTGCAAGCATCTTTCAAAAATAGAATGCTGAATGGCAACTCTGGGTACTTAGCTCATGCCACTTGTTAGAGCAATTGCCTCAGACATGCTTAACTGATACATGAATAGTATCAAATGGCTTGTTTGAGCTAATGAGAGATTGCAAAACCTAACTTTGCTGAATTACTGTTGTTTAACTGCACATATGAATAAGCATATATCTTGCTTTAACTTGCTGCGTATTAGAAATGATAACAAGAGGCTATGCTATTATTTAAAAGCTGAAGTTGGAGCATGCTAGGAATGCAAAATGTCTTTTGGAATCTAATATCAACTTAGCAGGCCAGGAAAGAATGTGTTCAAGTGCTTAAAATAAACCAATAAGATAAAGCTTCCTTTTTTCAGTGGCTTTGAAGCACTAATTGGAACATCTGGCTTATCACCATCTTTCTATAGAGTTACAAATCACACCACCATTGATGCTGCTTTTGACCTCGTTCCTTCCTTGAACAATATTAAATGAGTGTCTGTAGTGTACAGTTAAGAGTAGCTCCTTGTCTCTTGGCAAACTGATTGCATAGTGACTTGTTGAGTCAGAGTATCATTAAGAGCTACAAGTAGACTGTCTATCTTAAAAGAAACTGGAACATATGCTTAAATGCTTGGCTCATTTTAATAAACACTTGTTCTGAAGCTTAAATCCATTTTAGTTGGTTCTGCTAGTTAGTTGGCTGACTTTCCCTTCCATCCAGGTATTAACGGCATACCTTTTTGATTGGCTTTTCGTAATATTTGGACTTATTAAAAATATATGCAACTTCAAAATATTCTTTGTATTTGTGCTTCTTTGTCAGTTTCCTGTGTGGGTTTTTGGTTTTTACCCTTCCAAGGCCTTATACCAAGACCTTTACAGCAGAGCTCAGCGAAAAATACTTCTGGAATGATTCTTGCAAGCTTATAAGTAAACTAATTGGATAATTAGTAAGGACTGGATTTAAAATTAAAAGTAAACAAGTTGATAGGTCAAAAGTTTTCAGTATATGTATCAATCACAATGCTAGTTGTTATGAAATTGATTACAACTATTATAACCATATTTCATTACAAAGGTTAAAAGCTGAAGGCCTTAAATGACAAAGCAAGCTCTAGTCCAAGGACTCCATACAGTAAACATAGCCACAAATGCTTCTGGAGGATGGTCTTGAGAACCTCTCGCTCTTCTGTGTACACAGATGATACAGTGCTGTTACTTTGGATGACTAACAAATTAAAAAAACCTCTGCTTTGTGGAAGGCTGGCTTATTGTATAGGTGGAGTTTAAGTGATATCCTGTAGGTGACTTCCCCCCCGCCCCCACTTCCCAAAAAGGTGCTTTCTGCTTTCATTCTTTAACTCTTGAGGCAAACTCTAAAACTTGCTTCTTTGGCATTGAGATACTGCTGTCACATAGGAGGATTACTGCATCAGTATATTACTAATGACCTCCCCCGCCCTCGAGCTGTAAGAAGTTGGTTGGGATCAAGAAGCTAATGGGTTTGTTGGCCTTAACTGGAGGTCTGAGTTACAGGAGCATTGCTGGAGGATGCTACTGTTACCAAGAATAATGTTTCTATGCAGCTGTAATAATTGCTTCTTGTTTGAAATTAAAACTCATCTTATTTTTTGAAGGCGGTGGGGGGGGGGAAGCAGTTGCGAGTACTATTAGGGTAGATGCTGAATGCTGGCAACAGGCCATAGAGAGAAACTTCATCAAGAACTTGAGCTGGTGGGGTTTTAGTGCGGTTCTGGTAGGGATCTCCATTAGGGTTTCCTAAACTTCTTGAATATGGCACTGTCATTGCTGGTGCTATCTGCACAGCCTGGAGCAATTGCCATTGCCTGCGTAACCTGCTGATGTTTGCCTGATGTAAAGAAAAGAGCCGAAGTTAACTGAGCTGATGAAGTGAATTATGGTGGTTTGGCCATGACGAGTCAGTTAAAGGTACATTTTGATTTCCAGATAGTACTCTCATAATAACTAAACTGAAATGTTATCTTTTGGTGTTGGTCTCAAGTAGTTAAGATGGAGATGGTGAACCTGGTTTGGTTTCTGTTAATTCACAGTAGGCAGCACACAGTGTTGCCTTTCTAGGAAGCAGAAGGTGAAAGACTGTCAACTGAAGTAGATACATATTTCCTTTCAATCCCTAGAAAGGAAACAAACAAGCTGAGGGATTTGGTCAGTGGGTCTAGTCATCAGTCTATAATCTACCTCTTCCAGATGACACTGCTGGAGGAACAGGGAGGGCTGGAGGAACAGGGAGGGCTGACTAAAGCTAGGTAGTGCCAGTTGGCATGACTGGGGCAGTGATGCTCATTTTATCAAGAAGAGTTTCAAGTAACATCTAAGTAGAGATGGCAAGGAGTTTCTGGAACTGCTAGCATTTCTAATGTCTGCCAAGTGACATGATCTTGGCCTCTCAGTTGCATTATTATTGTGCTGTGGGAGATGAACACAAATGGAGAATCTGGAAGACCAATTGCTTGTAAAAGCATGATGTCAGTACTTGGTCCTGTCTTTTTCTGGTCTGTTCATGACAGCATAGAAGATGACAGCATAGAAGATGAAAGGTAGCAGTTCTTGTACAAGTTCTGCTGGGAAGAATGGTTGGAGTGTAAACTATAGTGATCCCAGTTTTACTTTGGAGATGAAATAGCTTAATCTCTTGTTCCACTTTTAACATCACCTATTCCATTTCTTGCCACAAGGTTTATTTTGAATGTAACTGAAGAGTATGTGAAGGAAATTCTTCCCTAGAGAAGCTGTATTATCTTTGTAAATTCTTTTGAATTTACTATATATATTCACCCCTGAGGATGAGGCAAATCTATCATTATGATTTCTTGCACTTTTCTCCTTAACCCGTCAATGACTAGGCATGATCCTGCAGAATCTGAGTGTCCCAGAGATGATCTCTGCTCCTGTTTTGAGGCTTGTTTTTCATCAAGTGCAAGTGTTGGTTCTGTGAAGGTGCAGCCATCTACAGCAGGTTGTTTTTCCTCATTACTTCTACCTTTGGTAGGAGTTTTCATTCTGCCTTGTGTTTCATAGCTGAATTTTTCCAAATTTTGTTCTTTTCTAGGTATATCAGCATTTCTTGTGGCAGGGATGTATCATTTGAGTCACTAATACTCTAAACTGGTGTCTCATGTCTTGATGTAGTAGCAGCTTCTCATGGGTTTTGGTTACCTTAAATGCTTGTTAACTGTCAATTCTTCAGCTTCATATAAAACTTTACTGTTCTGCTTTAGAGTAGCCAGCTTTAACACTAGCTTCAGCATGGATTTAGTAATATCCTTCATAGTTGTAGATCTGAAACTGGAGGTAGTTCATTCTAAGGGTACCCAGGAGGAATACCCAAAGGCTTAGGAAGTCCTTTGAAGTTTTGGAATAAACTCAGACTGGTTTTGTGGTGGTTCTTGAATATCCTTATACCATGATGAACTGAGTTCCAGATGCCCCCAGAAAGGTATTGCTTTAAGAAAGGAGTGTAGTTAGAGGTTTTGGGTCACTGAGGTCTGTAGCCTGTGTGAGGAAACATCTTTATTTTTACAAGACCTGCATGTAAAATGCCACCGTGAAGGCTTCTAGATATCAGCCCTAGATTTTGGTTTCTCCTTAAGTCATATCGGCAAAAACTGATTTAATGGTGGTGCGGGGGGGGGGGGGA